GAATGATGACTGTAAAGCAGCTGTTCAGACATACAGGGCCCTTCCCAAACAGACTATAAGCCAAGAAGGGCGGAATTTAGCCCAACGGGAATTTTGCCGCGTGGTTCAGAAAGCTAGGAGAGAATACTGGCAGACTCTAATCAATTCAGCAACTGAGCCAAAGGACCTATACAGAATCGTCTCTTGGCACAAGCTATCAGCAGGATTGCGTTCCCCCCTAATCATCATAAGAGACCAAATATTTGAGTCATAAGAGAGCAAGGCAAATACATTACGTTCAGCCATGCTTGAACGAAGTACCTCAGACAACGAGATTATCGACCCCTGGTCCGCTCAGATCACACAACCCAAGCCATACATCCCCCTTAAATACTATATCGGACTGGAAGAGGCTGAAGGATGCACTATAGGGACCAAGAGCAACTCCCCGGGAATAGACACCCTCACAGTACGGATTCTGAAAGCTTGCTGGACAGTCATTAGGGAACATATCAGAGCCCTTTTCCAGACCTGCCTACAGATTGGACACCACCCGAAACCATTCAAAGTAGCTGAGGTGGTAATAACCCCAAAACCAGGTAAGAAAGACTATTCTAATCCCAGAGCCTACAGACCAATATCGCTATTATCATGTCTTGGCAAAGGCCTAGAACGACTCATTACAAAAAGAATTACCTGGTTTGTTGTTAAACTTGGAATTCTAGTTCCACAATATTTTGGAGCTCTGCCAAAGCGCTCTGCCACTGACCTGGTAGCTGCACTCATATACGATATTGAGCAGGCCCTCGACCAAGGCCCCGTTGCAATGGTAGTCACGTCAGATGTGAAAGGGGCCTTTGACGCTGCCCTAATGGGACAGCTGGTGGTTCGCATGAGAGAACAGGGCTGGCCAGGCTTTCTTATAAGATAGGTCCAGTCATTCATGTCCGAGCGGTCCGCAAGGGTTTGATTTGAAGGTATCATGACTGATATAAAAGCTCTCATTTACGGGCTACCACAAGACTCACCAGCCTCTCTTATCCTTTACATGCTGTATACCGAGCCAATCTGTGCTCGACTTGGCATAAAAAGAAGACGCTTTGTATGTGCAGACGACCTAACAACTCTCTGTGTTAGAAAAAACCTTAAGGAAATAGCTAAAGAGGCTTCTGAAAATCTTCATTTGCTCAACCAATAGGGACACAATAATGTTATTAAATTTGACCCCGACAAAACCGAGATCATGCAGTTCTCGCGGAAAAAGAACTCAGATAATCCTCCCGTCTGCCACAGGACAATGAACAAAATAGCCAAGCATTCTATGCGATAGCTAGGTGTCCTTCTGGATAGAAAACTAAACTTCAAAGATCATGTTTCTCACCGGGCCAAGAAAGCTAGTAAGGTAACAAATCACTTTTGAGGACTATACAACACAATCAAAGGACTTCCAGTAAAGTCAACCAGGAGGGCTGTGAAAGCTTGTGTTATTCTTATTCTTACACATGGCTTAAAGGCCTGGTACCCAGAAATCAAAAAAATTAGGAGCTCAGGTGAGACATCAGCATATCGCATTAGGGGGCTTTTTAGAACAATAGATACTGTACTACGAACAGCGATCAGGGCTATCCTGCCAGTCTGGAAAACACATCCCGGACATATCCTATACTTTGAATCACAGATTCCTCTAACAAGAGTTCTTGCAGAGGCAATAAGACAGCGTCACGGCCTACGACTCGGACGTTTAGACCAAATACACCCTCTTGTTGGCAGGCTCCAAATACAAGTCCGCAAGGAACCAACAAGGTTACAAAGAAACTTCCAGCTAGTCCCTAACTTCCAGAGACCAATACTCACCAAGCCAACATAAAAAAAGCTCCCAATCTGAAAAGACAAAAACAAAAAGACAGAGCTCTTCAAGGAATGATTACAAGAGAGAAATGTGAACACTGACCTTGTCATCTATTCAGATGGATCACAATTGGACAACAAAGGCACAACCCGTACTAGATGGGCTACACCATCAGGAAAGGCAACACTACACAAGAAGTATACCAGGGAAAGGGCAGACTTCTCTAAGCAGAAGTAATAAATGCTGAAGTCTATAGCGCTCTCCAAGGGCTTGCAGCAGCCAGGGCAATTGGACACAGAAAACAGCTATATGTCTGCCTGGACAACACAGCAGTGGTAGATGGGCTCAATAGGACTCGACCCGAGACATCACAGAACATTTTTTTACGATTCCAAGAACTTGCCACGGCACACACTCCTGGAGTGACCGTCAAGTGGATTACTGGACACAGAGATATTGATAGAAACAAAGCTGCCAATACACTAGCAAAAGAGGGTACCATGCTAGAATCAGACACAATAAATCTTCCCATAATCTCATGGGTTAAGAGAGATCTCAAAAGAAAGGGCAAGAAAGAGTTCAATCAATGGTAGAAAGACAAATCAGAACCTAGATATCAAGAAGTATACTCACATACAGTAACTAAAAGAGACCTTATATCTTTTAAGAGGAGTACTTTACACAGACTTTTAGCGGCCAGATCTGGACATGGCGACTTTGCCAGATACCACGAACGCTTTGGGCATACAGACTCGAATAATCACTGCAGCTATGGTGAGAGATAAACATCACAATATATTTTCTTTTATAAAAAGCTGGGAAAAAATTGGCTACTGCCCAGGTACTCGCCTAGGACAGCTTGTTTACAATAACATCTCCCACCCCCCTGCGGACCACCCCCTCGCGGACCAGCGCGTTCTGACCCACAAACGCGTAATTCACCAACCACCAGGATTATGGTGATCTACCATCTACACCATCACTTTTGCATCTTTTTTTTCCACAAAGCACATTATTTGAATCCTTATCCACTGCTGAATCTCATGATGTCATTTTACGACCATCAAATAAAAGCTGAAGCCGCCATTTTGGCCATCCAACGCGGAGCTCCAGTCCGCTCGTCAGCCCTCGAATGGCAAATCAGTCGCTCGTACGTCAACCGACAAATCTCTGGCACCCCAACGCGGAATGAGACCAGCGCTCTCCAACAGGCTTTCTCACCGTATCTTGAATATAAGCTGGCAAGCTGGGCCCTTGGGCAAGCACAGCTAGGGTATTCTCCGGCGGTCTCTAAGTTCCGTCTCATGGCCCAGCGGATGCTCCATGCCACCGGGGATGCTCGAGAATTAGGAAAAAATTAGGCATCCAAATTCCTGTCTTGAAACCCGGAAGTCAAGATAATGAAGTCTCGTGTTATCGACTACAACCGAGTGAATGATGCTACAGCGGCAAATATCAACATTTTTTTCGATCGGTGTGACGCCCCTGACGTGGTTAACCTCATGTCAGCACGCTGGTACAACGTCGACGAAATGGGAATCGCCCAGGGGGTTAGGGACTCCCATTGGGTGGTCTCCGAGGCCTCCGGCAACGTGGTTATGAAGAAAGGGGTCGAGAAGAGTGAATGGATAACTGCCCTAGAGTGTGTGAGCGGATCTGGTGAGACCTTGCCGCCGCTGGTGATTCTCAAGGGGGTTAACGTACAAGCCCAGTGGTTTAGCAACCAAAATGAGGACAAATTCACCCACTGGAGGTTTATTACGTCGCCCAATGGATGGACCTCGAATCCCATTGCGTTAGAATGGCTTCAACGTATCTTTATTCCTCACATTTGGGAGGTCCACGGCAACACATGGGTGGTTTTGGTGTGTGATGGCCACAACTCCCACACGAATGACGAGTTCCTAGCCACCTGCTTGAGAAACAAAGTATGGTTGATCTTTTATGAACCTCACTGCTCCCATGTAGTCCAGGTGTTAGATATGGGAGTCTTCAATTTGGTGAAGAAGAGGTTGAAGACCTTACTCCAAGAGACGCCCAGCGGCCGTCTGGGACTTAGGCCATCTAAGGAGGAGGTTTTGGAGTGCTACAAGCAGGCCCGAAAGGACACAATAACGCTCTTCAATACCAGAATTGCCTGGAAAAAGACTGGGATTGTTCCTCGCAACAGAGCAGAGGCGTTGAAGTCGAAATATGTGATTCTGGAGGACAAGGGGGTGGCCAGGGCATGCCAGAGGGACCCTAAGGCTTCCGAGCGAGCCACAACACCAGATTTTCTCGAGATGGTAGCTAAAACCATTGTCACAACACCCTCTGGAAGCCGGGCTTTGCGGGAAAGTGCTCGAAAGCTCGAAAGAAAGGACCCTTCCTTTGGGGGGCCCTCTGAGCGCTTGTTGGTGCGGAAGGCTGGCAAGGCCATGGATGTTCAGGCTGCTATCATTGCAAATCTACGGGCTAAATGTGAGCTGCTTGAGGCTCAAGTGGCTAAAAAGGCTAATACCACTCGAAAAGCAGTCAAACCAACACCAAGGGAACGATTCGTCACAATGGCTAACATAAGGGAGGCCAAAATGGAGCTGAGGAACAGGAGGGTCTATAGGGACTCCGCTGCAGGCGAAGAGGTCCTACAAGAGGTCCCTGGTGAAGATTTAGGGTCGGAATCGGATTCTGGGAGCTGTATTATGGTTAGAACACCACGACCTTAGTGTATTTAGCAACTGTGGTGGTTGTAGATGGCTTCAGCTGAATGAGAGTGGTGTGGTGTGGAGTGGTCCGTGAGGGGGTGGTCCGCAGGGGGGGGTGAGATGTTACTTAGGGGAGAGGAGCACAGAATGGGCAAAATTCGTGGAGAAGAGCAAGTTCTTTTCATCAATCTACCCTCGATAGATAGCTGTTCTTGAAGGACCAGATGGATGACCCAAGGTCATACCGCCGCAACAACGGGGATGGGCTCGTGAGCGGGACTGATTGTACTTATTATCTTGATACCTCCACAACCTTGCGATGCAGAGGCTCTGGGAGACGTGGTTTGCACTACTGAGGAGCAATCCCCCACGTTAAATACAAAACAAACAAAACAATGTTGACCATCCTGGCCATACTGTAGGAACCCATCCCTCACCAAAATCCCCACCAGATAAGGATTCGTTTGTGGCGATGAACTTTTAAGCCCATGTCAGAATGCTTGATGATCATCTACGACCCCGGTTCTGTTTGCTACCGAGATTGCGGGGTCGCTGCGCTTCTGTTGGAAATCCAAGTGGTTTCTTCAATACTTAAGGTGCTCGGCCTCCTACTGAGGAATGTAAGTTAGGGCTTCCATACAGATCTAAAGCCTACCCAATACGACATCAACAATATCCCTTCAAGGTTTCGGCAAAGGACAAACTCCTAGACTTCCAACAACACCAACATTATCCCTTCCAGTTCTCGACAAAAGATAGACCCCAAGACCTCCATCAACCTCACCAAGATGAGAATAATGCAAGTTAGAAGCGCAAGCTTTCTGGCCTTGTCGGTCTTGATATTCGGTCTACTCCAATGTCTCGTCGAGGGCAGTCTCTAGAAACAGTCATGCCGTCGTGGTCGAAGAAATGGCAATGCTAACTCGGTTAACCCAACAGTGCCGGACCGTGGGGACCGTAGGAAGGCCAGCAGTAGCGCCAACAATTGCCAGAAGCAAACACGTCCTAGCCAGAGAGGATGACGACATTACATGGGATGACAAGCCGAAAATCAAGTGGAAGGATCTCACCAACGAAGAATTCGGACCAGGGATGAGGTTCTTCGTAGAAGCCGAATCAAAGGTGCAGGATAAGCTCAAGGAAAAGGAGCTGTTCATCAAAACCGGAAGAGACGAGGAACGCTTGAAGAACGAGATAGAGGCCTACAAAATCCTCGAGGTAACGTCGACCGCTGAGGAAACGTTGATCGCGCCCAAGTTCCTGGGGCTCGTCCGTGAAGGACGACACGGTGGTCGGGTTCGTGCTTCAGCAGATTATTAATGGGAAAACGCCAGATTTGTCGGACAAAGATTATAATAAGTGCAAGAAAACTCTGGACGCATTTCACGCAAGAGGCTTGTCGCATGGGGATATAAACGAGGGACAGTTTCTGTTGGATATCATAGCAGGTCCAGACGAGGCCTTCGGGGCTGAATGCGCTAATGGGTTTGGTTTGAGGGCAGTCAGCCGACCCTCAGGCCACCAGGATTCTGCCACCATTATCGTATGATGATCTGGTCACTCTGATGGCACACCTGTACATATATATGGGGGCTTCTCCCCCAGAGATCTTCTTCTCTTTTCCTTTCAATACCAGAACGGTTTGAAATCTCACAGTTTCTCATCAACACAAAGGGGAAAGCCTGGATTTTTTATTTCGAAAACGCACAGTGGGTAACGGAGGGAGCAACAGATGAGGATGAAGACAAGCTTGCGGAAGCACAAGATGAGGATGATGAGTTGCTTGAGGACTACTGGAAGGAGGAAGTGAGATATGGGGACTAATGTATAAGCTTTGCTGCGGTTTGCTGGCGTGGGACCTTTGGCTCGATTTGTCTCTTCTAGCTTATCGAGAAACTCCTTGTCCTCGCACCTCGCTGTTACGAACCAACAATACCACGGGCCCGTTGGCAGGCCTGAAGGGAAAAGGATGACCTATGAGGGACCCCAATTAGAACGGGGACACAATACAGAACAGCGCAGGGCATCCAGGCACGTGATCGAGGAAGTCAGGATCACGTGACTAGAGTTGCTCACGTCTGCTCACGCGAGCAATGGTGAGCACACCTCATCAGTGAGAGAGAGATTGGATATATAAGGATGGACATTTCCTAGCTAGACAGATAGACAGTCTCTACCTCAATGATCAATCTAAGCATCTTAGCCAACCCTAAGGTGGGAGACATCTCCTTACGACTCGACTATACAGTGATCCCTTGGATCAGACCAAGCCCCAGCATCTGAGTGTCTTCTAGTTGACAGAAGCCTCTAGCGTCCTTTGTGTTGACTTACCTCAGAACATAAACCCTATAGAACTCTTTAGCCTTATAGGTTAGACGGCTCGTCACACTCGCTAGAGTCACTGGGAGGTAGAGACTCGGTTAGTTTGGCCTGTTGTGTCTGGAGATTTTGACGTTGTAATGCACGCCGAGGGACATCGGACAGCTGGAACATAATGGCGGATATCAGATTGCATGGAAAACTGGAAGATAGAGGCGTCAATGTTTTACGATTCGATATGTGTCTTTAAGAGTAAAATCGGTCATTTACAAGAAGCAAATGAAAGAAAGAAAGGTATCTATAGAGCGCATGGTCAAGATGGAAGAACCCTGAGAAAGGGGCGCTCGCATGGATTGTATAGCTATGCGCATAGACCGGAAACTACGCCTGGGTCGGAAAGAGCAGAATATGTTTGTTTGTTTGTTTGTTTTGTATTTATCGTGGGTGCAGTCCCTCAACAGGGCAAACCACGCCTCCCAGAGCCATTGCATCGCAAGGTTATAGAGGTGTCAGTCTAGATACATTCAGATCCGCGCACGAGCCTATCCTCGTTGTAGCGGTACCAATCTGGAGTGACCAGATGGTTTTAGTCAATACCCAAGCACGATTTCGTCAGAAAAATCCCCTGTCCAGTGACTAAGCGACCCAGTGAACCTCAGTACTCTGGTGTACACATCGTTCCAGTAGCCGTTCGATATATGTCGCATTGGTGGGTGAAATAGGTGTTTGTTATCTGCTGGCGAGGGAAATCACAAGGGGAAAACCCTCACAGGAGTGGGTATTGTGGAGACAAACTGTTTGGCTATCGGGCTCTGCGATAAGGGGCCTCTCCACTGTCGTGTGCTGGTTGTCGACTCGCACAAGCCGGGTCAGAAGGGGGCCATAGCAGGATTCGAACCCACTTGTTCTCGTCGCCCACCGCACAAACGAGAACACAACCAGGCGCATTTGACCATTGCGCCATACGGCCGGAAAGAGCAGAATAAGATACAGTTTGAAACAAGCGATGGACTCGAGTGGGAGCACTTTATAACAAATGCAAGGAAGTGTAATTTATAAGCAAGACAGTGTAGAAAGGGCAATAGGAGATGCAACAAGAATGCGTTTTGCGTTCAAACCGACAAACAGACCGTTCTGGACGGACGGAACTCGGGCCTCTGCATTAGCTAAGTAAAATGATCCAGGTGGCTCAGGAGAACGATATCAAGCCGAGCTCAGGCCCATCGATATGCTAGTCAGCGGTTGCCAGGTATGTCGACACCGAGAGGACGATTATCTCAGTGCCCAAACCAGAGACTGGCCATTCAATAAGGGGTGATGTGGTTAATCATGGATGGTGTGGCTTGGTTCTGGTGATGGCCAGTCGGAGTTTACCTCCCAAGGGTCATGTGACAGTTCAACGGCGGGTGATGGTCCGTGCACTCAGAAGGATTCAATGTTCTTGTCTGAGCGCTGAGATCAGGATGAGGTCTTTCCAACCCACCGTATCGATATTCCAGCGTAGCTGTTGTGACTGGTGACGAGATGATTGCCACGAACTCAACAAGCTCAGTTGTACAGCATGCGGTGGTCATCGAACGGTACCCTGCTTTGGACCCGAGTGGCGTTCGTTACACAACCACATAGAGCGATTTTCAGCAGGTCCTCAGGGCGAGCACCAAGCAATGCAGCTGGCTCTCCTCAGTACAGCATTATCGCCATCCAGCCACCCAGACTGGGGACTGTCCGAAGGGGCAGGTCGGTCAGTCCATCCTGACGACTTCCTCATGTTTGTTTGTTTGTTTTGTTTGTTTTGTATTTAACGTGGGGGGTAGCTCCTCAGTAGTGCAAACCACGCCTCCCAGAGCCATTGCATCGCAAGGTTGTAGAGGTGTCAAATTAGATACATTCAGATCCGCGCACGAGCCTATCCTCGCTGTAGCGGTACCAATCTGGAGTGTTCAGATGGTTTTAGTCAATACCCAAGCACGATTCCGTCAGAAAAACCTCCTATCTAGTGACAAAGCGACCCAGTGAACCTCAGTTCTCTGGTGTACATATCGTTCCAGTAGCCGTTCGATATATGTCGCATTGGTGGGTGGAGTAGGTGTTTGTTATCTGCTGGCGAGGGAAACCACAAGGGGGAAAACCTCGCAGGAGTGGGTATTGTGGAGACAAGCTGCTTGGCTATCGGGCTCTGCGATAAAATGGGGCCTCTCCACTGTCGTGTGCTGGTTATCGACTCGCACAAGCCGGGTCAGAAAGGGGGCCATAGCAGGATTCGAACCCACTTGTTCTCGTCGCCCACCGCACAAACGAGAACACAACCAGGCGCATTTGACCATTGCGCCATACGGCCGACGACTTCCTCAGAAGAGAACTTGGCTTCACACGGTTTGTTGGTTCCTCGCTCATTTCCCAGGTCACGCTCGGGTCTGACATGGTCAGCTTCACAATATCCTTTGGCCCGAGGTCAGTTGTCCACCTGCATTGATCCCCACCGCCTCAACTCGAGCTTTGTGTCCGTAGGGCAGGTGCTAATGACTTCAACCTAACCGTGTAGCACACAGCATGACCAAAGGTGGTTCGGGCAAGTCACGAGGCCAGCTGGTCAGCTACGGAGGTGATATGCAAGCTAAGCTGTGAGCCAATACCAGAGAGCCAGGGAACCCGAGTAGTACCCGAGTGGGTATGATCGTGGGCCGCGGCTTACACAGCTATGAGCTTACAAGGCTTGTCATTACACGGCATTCACCACGCGGACCTACGAGTACTAACTTGTTAGGTTGCGGGGTAGGACGGCATGGCATGGGACGGATCGCCTCCGACATGTACTAGCAATGAGCATGTGTTGTTCACCGCTGCCAGCCGACGGCACTTCCCTTGACACATATCGCCGCCGGCTTTAGGCTTGACCACGACGCCGATTGGATGCCATGTTGGGGATGCCACACTTCAAGATCTCATGATCTTACCTACTACGCATCGCATTCATCTCATGTGCCTCGTCTGCCTCATCTGCCCGCTTCTAACTGGGCCCAGAAGCGAGCTGGGAGCAGGACTTGGTTCGCTCGTCTTGGCATCTTGGAGCTTACCTACCGTACCTATCGTACATTGTAATGGGTTGATGGAAAGATCCCTCATTTCTTCATTGGGATCATGAGGGGCGGTACCTCTTGGTCACGTACCTCATGGCTACCCCGCGTCATCCCATCTCACCTTGCACCCGTGTTTTCCCATCTACCAAGGCGGTGGGTAGGCTGGGGCTGGGGCGAGTCCGGGGAAGGCGGTCATAAGGTATGCGAATTACAATTACTAACCTCTCACTCCGTTCTCGTTCAAGCCAAGCGGCAAGTCGAGAGTGATGTCACATGCCACACATACCAGGAAGTATTGTCCCGAGATGGCATCCGCTAACATGCCATCGACGTCCAACAACACACCAAGACCAGCCCACGACTAAGACCTGTGGTCGCGTGGCTCCCAATGAGTGACAGATGCAGGCACAGTACCAGCCGCGTCTTGCGGGCACGGTCACATGCCAAGCCGATTTCCCCAGATTCTGGGGATTCTGGCGGTCTGGGGTCGGGATGCTCCATTCGGGAGGCGTTCGGGAAGGGCGGGAGCCTCCGGGAGCTATGCCAGCAACCTAACCTGCCCATGATGCAACCGTATGCTAAGTCGCCGAGGAGCCAGACCATCGACCGCGGCGAGATTACATGGGCCGATGCGCTGCGCCGCGCAATCTCGTGATGCGAGCTGACGCTTTCAGGGGCCGCGGGGAGGGTTGCAGTAGGCTGCCACCTGCAAGAAATATGCCTACCGACTGGATGGAGCGTTCGCGATGTCGCTGAAGGAGGCTCTCGTCTCTGCTCTCTGGCCGACGTCCGAGTGGCACAGGCGCAGAAGAGGTCTCCGGTCTGGTCTGCTCTGAAGTGTCAAAGTGAACTGAAGCTACTCCTGTTTAAAGGGGCACCTGGAACAGGTGGGCTTGGGCACTTCTAGGAAACGTGGGGTCTTGAAATCACGGCCTCCTTCAGGACCTCCGCGTTGCATTGAAACCAAATAAACTCGTGGCGCGTGGCCGTGATTATTGAACAGCACTGTAATGGTTTCTGTGGACCGTGGATCACAACCTGCAATGCGTTCACGGCCAGTGAGCAGAGCGCTTGGTCACACTGCGGGATGCCAATTTCTGGGACCTGCATTGTGGTGGCGCTCTACCCTCGGGCAGGCATTGCATTGACCGACGCGCTTGTTTCTGGTGAATATGCCTCGATCATCGTCCTTCATCGCGGTGCAGGTGTTCAGGTAGGTGAAGGTCCTCAAGGTTGTGGCGATGAGCTGTCAGCCTGCTGATCAGCCTACAACACAACCCAAGCATTGGCGTCAGCACCCAAGTTGCAGTCTCCTGGACCCCAGAGTCTCCTGGACCCCAGAGTCTCCTGGACCCCAAGGTCTAACTGAGACAGAGCGACTATAACGATTTCCCAAATGCAACAGTACCGCGTGTTATTGGGTCGTCCTTACAGGACGTTACCCATCTATTTTACTTCAGTTGTCGATCCATTCCATATCCGGCTTACAGCTAGCCCTACCCGGGTCTCGTGTCTCTGACGACCATCAACAAAGTCTAATGTCAATCTCTTCCCACCAACCGATCAGGCGGGGACGGGTTACCGGTTTCCTGGCTCCAAGAAGCTTCGAACTAAAATAGATTGTATGCTTACAGTCCGCTTGGTCATGAGCGGTCGCTGGCACGTGCACGACCTGTATCCCATCTCGCAACGACGTGTTTCTAGACCTCCGAGCGTTTCCCTGGTCCGGTAGGTTTCAACACACCGGAGAGGTCTCACTGCAGTGCAATGTCCTAGTGTGGTATGTCGTCACAACATCTCAAGACATCATGGGTCCATGGAGCTGTCCGTAGGGGCCGTCCAAGGCTCTGGCTGCTTTCCTGGTCGACATGGTGCTCCATGTCCGAACTCCGTATTGGGGGTGCCAAGGTGGCACAGAGCTGCCTGCGAGGCGCCCTCAAAGCTGAGCACTGTCTCTCTCAGGTACGAGAGCTCCAGAGGATCCTCGAGATGGAGTTGACTAGCAAAAGATGATCCTCGAGGAGGAGGGGACCCTCGTCGCTACCTAGTCTACTCCACCTCGAGGATCCTGTAGTATTGGAGGCCAAGCGCAATGAGTCTCATGACTTCTTTACTTGACACCTTGCCATTAATAACCCTTCGCAAGATGCAGCTTATTTCGTGCTATTGGGAGACCTTCCCCATTTGCTTAGCCCGTCTGATCTTGCATACGGGTGGTGAGCACGAGTTCTACTTCGGCCCCCGTCACTGTGCATTAGGTTCACCTACTTCAAGTCTATTTCGTATAATAGCAAGCTTCGTCCCATCTCTCTCGCCTGGTTCGTCTCAACTCGAGTCCTGGCTCAGACCTTCCCGCCACTCCCTTTGCTCGTTTACCTTTCCCTCCCATCCTAGGGCCCGAGAGCTTATCGGGGAACCTCCTTCAGCCTTAGCAAGTCTCTCGTGGTGTTACTTCCTATTATATACACGCTGCCTGACATGTGGCTCAAGGACCTTCTGGCCGGTTTGGCCATCTTCAGCAGCCTCGTAGTTGCAGAATCTACGTTCTCCCCCGCACGGCCACCGTCTATTCCCCTAGCCGTCAAGGCACCATACCTGAATTCGTGGCTGGATGCCGGTAGTGATGGCGGGAATGGGGGATACCTGGCAGGCGAGTGGCCTGTATTCTGGCAGTAAGTTCCTTAAACCGCACAGACTGCCTACACGTTACAGTGAGATTGACCTTTGTCGTGCAGGCAACAAGTAACAGGGTGGGCAGGTCTCATCCGCGTGGATGGAACTCCATATACGTGGATGGGAGCGCCAGGGGGTGGCGCCGCCCTCGTAGATCAGACTGACTTCTCATATACGTCGACACGGAGTACGTTCGTGATGAACGTGGGCGGAAAAGTCGAGATGAACATCACGTTTCTTTCCCCAGTCACCCCCACGGACTTGAAAAGACAGTCGTTGGTTTTCTCGTACCTCGACGTCGCCGTCACCTCATTGGACGGTGCTAGTCACGATGTTCAGCTGTACGCCGACTGCTCGGCTGGTGAGTGGCAAACTCTGCGACCCTCGTGACCGTACTCCTGTACTCATCCTTTATTCACAGAATGGGCCTCGGGTGATTTGAGTGCCATCATCGAGTGGGACCACAACTCTGCCGATGGGGTTGCCTACCACCAGTTCTCTCGGCAGGATCAAGTTGAGATATCCGAGACAAATCAGCTGCCGAATTGGGGTACCTGGTACTGGTCTACGAGTGACGCAGATGGTGTAAGTCAACGAACTTGACCCAGAGCTCGAGATCGAGCATGCGAGTCGACTCCAGAAGCTAACATGATTCCTAGCTCACTTATCAGAGTGGTGCCGACGTGGACGTGAGGGGCGCGTTCATCGGCACAGGCGCTCTACCCAACACGAAGGACACAAATTTCAGAGCTGTGAACGATAACTGGTATGTGTCAAGGCCACCACCCAGCCAACATGCTCTGTCGGCTATAGACTAACTTGGCTTATAGGCCTGTTTTCGGGTTCGCCCATGATCTCGGGTCTGTCGGAGGAAACACTGTCAGCACCCTCTTTTCCATTGGCCTGACCCAGGACAATGCGATACAGCTCCTTGGCGAGAGCAGTAATCTCACGACCTATCCTTCTCTGTGGAAAAGCTACTTTGGCTCTGACCTTGAAGCTGTCAGTCTCCTCATCCTCTCGCCAGAAGATAGCCCCTGACTTTTATAGATGACATTCTTTTACAACGATTACAGTGAGGCGTCGAGCCTCGCCACCGCTTTGGACAACAAGGTGGCCACAGACTCCGTGGCGGCCGCGGGACAGAACTACCTTACCATCACCAGCCTCAGCGTCCGACAGGCTTTCGGTGCGCTGCAGTTCACCGGCACAGATGCAGACCCCTTGGTCTTCCTCAAGGAGATCAGTTCGAACAGCGATATCCAGACCGTAGACGTCATCTTCCCAACAATGCCACTGATATTGTACAGCAACCCCGCTATCCTCAACTATATGCTTAAGCCACTGTTCCTCAACCAGGAGAACGGGCACTATCCCAAGACGAGCGCCATTCACGACCTGGGAACCTTCCCCCTGGCCAAGGGCTACCCGGACGGGTCAGACGAGCCCCAACCCCTCGAGGAGTGCGGCAACATGCTGATCATGGTGCTGGCGTACGCGCAACGCACGGGGGACAACGCCTACCTCGCAACGCACTACAACATCCTGAAGCAGTGGGCGGGCTACCTCGTAGACGAGGCGCTGATCCCCGCGGACCAGATCTCGACGGACGACTTCGCGGGCTCGCTGGCGAACCAGACCAACCTGGCCATCAAGGGCATCATCGGGCTGCGGGCCATGGCCGACATCGCCGGCGTGACCGGCCACGCCGACGATGCCGCGTCGTATTTCGCCACGGCCACGAACTACATCGCGCAGTGGCAGGGCTACGGCATCAACCACGCGGCCAACCCGCCGCACACGACGCTCTCGTACAACGAGCCCGACTCCTACGGCCTGCTGTACAACCTGTACGCCAACTCGCTGCTGGGTTTTGGCAGCGCCTTCGTGCCGCAGAGCGTCTACGACATGCAGAGCGCCTTCTACCCGACCGTCGCGCTGAAGTACGGCGTCCCGCTCGACACGCGGCATACCTATACCAAGTCCGACTGGGAGCTGTGGGCCGCGGCCGTCGCGTCCCCGGACACGCGCGACCTGTTTGTGAATCTTATTGCTGAGTGGATTAATGTCACGCCGACGAATATGGCGCTCACGGACTTGTATGACTGCGAGACGGGCGATTATCCGGGCATTAGCTTCACGGCGCGGCCGGTGGTTGGGGGGCATTTTGCGCTGCTGGCTTTGCCGCAGTAGGTAGGTGGCATGGATGGAGTTTGGTACTCATTTTTGGCTTTGGAACTGGGAGGGGTCATCCGGACCTTGTTTTAAGGTTGTTTGGTCCGATCTTGGTTGGGGGGAGATAAACTTCACCGGCCGACTCGCGCTCCCGAAACAAGCGTCGAGCGAGCGTCATGAGTTCCGAGGGGCTGTCCGTTGGGTTGTACTAATAAGGTCGTTGCCGGACCTGTGCTAATATCTGTCTTTTGTTGGATTTCGGACATTCTTCTTTTTGCGGTCATATACCATACCATGGAGCATCTAGCATCTAGCATCTCGGTAATTTCATCTATTTTACTTCGTGTCCCTCGTTTCTTTTGGCCTGGAAGCAATGATTACGGGGTTTGTCGTCGTCATCTGTTTGCACCAGACCCTCACTGTTTTCCGATCTTCTCTTTCTTGACACCCACGTGGGAGTCACGGGAACTGTGGCTGCGGCAGGGAGGCGCATGGTCAAGTTGGCAGGTGGTTACTGTGGTGGTTGGTATATGTACGAGATTACAGGGCCAGGACATGGTTAGGGGGTTGTTGCATGTGGTAACGGAACTTTAAGTATCAAGTTCGGTGCTAGATAATGGCATGAGCAGGAAGAGAGGCAACCATGTCCCCTGAAATGACAGGGTATCTAAGGTAAGCTGCTCGCAGACTGATGATCTTACTCTTACGACATGTATTGACTTTCAACATCACGGCAATATATAGTTGATTCTCATTCCTCATTATCATCATACAACCCAGACTCCTACTTATACAATTCACACACAGCATCTATACCTCCAATCTATCGAGGCCAAACCGCTCAACTCCTGTAGACCCTCGTGAAGCCCTCGGCGGGCGGCTGCAGCCAATTCCGCTCGTCGTACGTCGCGCCCTCGCCCTCGATGACGTGGAACGTGTATATAATGCGGCCCTTCTGACTCAGGTTCTTCTCGCTCTTGTGCAGCAGGTTGCCGTGTATCAGGACCAGCGACCCGGCCTTCACCTCGCCCATCACGTACTCGCCCTCCCCTTCTTTGTTGTTGTCTCCCCCGGCGGCTTTGACTTTCTCCCCGTACGCCTCGCCCGCGGGAAAGCGTAGGCCAGCGTTGTCCACGAACTCCGTGCCGCCGCCTTTCTCCGCGCGCACGAATCGCTGCCGGATGGGCGCCCATCGGTGGCTGCCAGGCAGGAAGCTCAGACAGCCGTTCTCGGCCGTCGCGTCCTCGAGTGCATACCAGAAGCCCACCGCGCTTGGCGGATTTGTGTATAGGAAGGTGCTGTCCTGGTGCGGCGGGACGGCACCGCCGATCTCGGGCTGCTTGCAGATGACCATGCTCTGCAGACAGCGCGGGTCGCGGAACCCCAGCGCGCGCGCCACGGCCGCGGGATGGCTCTCCTTGCCACCGGCCGCGACGCTCCCGCCGCTCGAGCCAGCGCCGAGCAGGTCCGGGTTGAGGGCCGGGTCGAGCAGGCTCGCGAAGGGCGGCGACAGCGCGTGCAGGTAGTGGCCGATCTTGTTGATGGCGCGGGCGTTGGGCTTGGTCAGCTCGCCCGTCGTTTTATCAAAGGCGTCCTCCTCGAAGAAGAAGCGGATCTGGTCGCCCGAGCCCAGGAAGTAGTCGTCGCCGACGTGCGCCGAGTTCTCGCCCGTGCTGAACTTGGTCATCGGGTGGTCGGCGAGCGCGAAGTCGTCGAGCAGCATGTGCGTCTCGGCTAGGAGCGCTTGTACGGTCGTGGGCGGCAGCGCGTTGGAGATGATGAGGTAGCCGTCTCGTTCGAAGGTCGCGACTTGGTCTGGGGTTAGGCCCCCGGTTGGGGCCGTTGTCTCTGTCATTGCGAGCGACGGGATCGGGTATATAGGAGTGATGATCTTTCAAGGAACAACCTAAGGTAGGTAGCTGCCTACGATACATGTAGGTCAATCTAAGGGACTCTATGATGGAGTTTTAGTTCGGCGGATGCTGCCGGATCGTGGAGTGGGTGGGAGTTGGAGGTGGATGGTGGGGTTGAAGCAGCTTGGAATGCAATGAGGGGTGAGGGGTGAGGGGTGAGGGCTCAAGACACAGTGTGCACACCTTCCACAGACAGCCTAATCTCGCTCACCAACCGAGCACCACACCTCCTGAGTAGGTATGTACCTAACCCGTATGAACTTCAGTTGGTAAACATACAGTATTCGACAACTCTCAGCTTTAAACTTCTAGTTCACCTGTTTCCCAGCACCTCAGGTCGAGCTGAGGAGATTTGATAACCACCAGCAACTCGTACAGTACCGTGTTTGGGAATCGCTACCTACGATGAGCTCAGAAAAGGAGGTCGTCTCTGGACCACCAGCTCCCGAACTCCTGGACGAGCGAATCTGGTTGGATGGATGCTGGGACTTCTTTCACCACGGCCATGCCGGCGCCATGCTGCAGGCACGCCAGCTGGGCAGCGAGCTATACGTGGGAGTGCACTCGGACGAGGCCATCCTGGAGAACAAGGGACCCACCGTCATGAACTTGCACGAACGGTACGGACAGCTCTTGATTCCCAGAACACACATCTCCTAGGAGGGCCAAAAGCGTCACGCGCTAATATCCTGGATTACTGAAGTCTCGCTGCGGTGGATGCTTGTCGCTGGGTCACCCAGTCGGTGGCTCATGCGCCCTATGTCACGGAGCTGTCCTTCATAAGCCACTTTGGATGCAAGTATGTCGTTCACGGCGACGATATCACCTCGGATAGCAACGGCGAGGACTGCTATCGATTCGTCAAGCAAGCAGGCCGGTTCAAGGTGGTGAAGCGCACCCCGAGCATCTCCACAACGGATCTGGTCGGCCGCATGCTGCTGTGCACCCGGACGCACTTCATCAAGTCACTGCAGAAGATGCTCGCTGGCGAGGAGGGCAACGGAACTGAGGCTGAGAGAAACGCCGAGGGTGAGGCGATGACGAACCGCATCAACCAATACGCCACCGATGAGACCGGAAAAGACCCCGGTGTGGATGTGTACTTCTGGTCCGCGTCCAATGCGGCGAAGGTCGAGGATACCGAAGAGGAAACCGGGTCGTTCCGCCAGTTGTTGAAAGGCAAGGGTCCTAAACCGGGTCAAAGGGTCGTCTACGTCGATGGAGGATTTGATCTGTTTTCTAGTGGTCACATCGAGTTTCTTCGACAAGTTGTTGTGGCGGAAGAGGGCCTGGCTCGGAAGGACGGCTGGTACGACCAGCAGGCCGTCGACGAGCGCCTTGGGAAAGGCGCCGACTACGGTCCTGTCTTCGTTGTCGCTGGTGTACACGACGATGAAGTCATCAATCACTGGAAAGGCATCAACTACCCCATCATGAACATATACGAGCGCGGACTTTGTGTCCTCCAGTGCCGCGTAAGTCGCTCACTCCACTCCCTCGGCCATCGCCACTAACCCCCTACTGCAGCACGTCAACGCGGTCATATTTGGTGCGCCATTCTCCCCGACAAAGTCGTACCTCGCGGCGTTGCCTTGGGGCACCCCGGATGCTGTGTACCACGGGCCGACTGCGTTCATGCCCCTCTCGTACGACCCATACTCAGCGCCCAAGGAAATGGGAATCTTCAAGCAGGTCACGCAACACACCTTCCAGGACGTCAACGCCGGCACGATTGTGCAACGTATCATGAAGAGCCGGGATCTCTACGAGGAGCGGCAACGGAAGAAGGGCGTCAAGGCGGTGGGTGAGGCCTCGCAGAGACACAGAGAGGTGTTAGAGGAGGAACAGCGCCTTAAGGAAGAGAAGATGAGCGCGACATGATGGGTCCCGGGGATTACGTCGTTATTGCATCAAGTATGGCGATCGGGATAGGAGAGAACGTGGTCTTCAACAGGCCATGACGGCCACTTACGAGACGGCGATCATCCATGGTTGCCTTGGATTGTACATAGACGGAAGACGGGGAAAGATTGGCGTTATTGGCCAAGCAGTTTTGTTATAGAATAACAGGAAATCAATGAGTGTTGCTCCCTGCTTCGTTGAACGCGTTTCGACACACCCTTTTCAAGCAACGCACATGCAGTTTGTACAAGAAATGTCCCCCACTCCAAAAAATACACCTGGCGCTTGAGTAGAGAGGACGGATGGAACTGTGTCACATTCAAATACCTGAAGTATTTCGTCTCATCGACTCGTGTGTTCGCATGTATACATAGGGGTCCACCAGTCTGCATCTCAGACTCGAGATTTGCAAGCAAAACTCGAGGCCTCTGCTTCTGCACCAACATCAGTCGCCGAATTTAGCAGCAACTTGACTTTAAGGGATCAAAGAGAGAAGAAAACCAAGGAATTGAGCGGGACCATATTGGGCAGTCCGTGGAAGCGGTAGATATTGGGTGCAAAAGGAGGTCAAGACAACGATTTGCTGTCCCGATTCGTCTGGGCGAGCATGAAAAGTACCGAGCATCTGCCAAGAAGGAGCACGCACCGGCCACTTGCACCTGCAAGTTGAACCTTGACAAGTCACAAAGGAGCTTGGGCCAGCGCGTTCTTCTAGAACACGGGAAGAATGGCGGGTGCAGATCATTGCGCAGGTCCAGCCACCTTCCCCGCGTTCCACCTGCTTTGACAGCTGGCGCAGCTGGCAGACCTGGCAAGGCTGACAGGTATCCCGATTATCGATAATGAATTTTGAGGCGCGGCTCTCGTCGCATCGAGCAAGCAGACGAGCAGATCCCATCGTGAACCCGAACATACCACATATACCTTGAGCTGCCAACCGCCAAATAAGCACATGACAAAACCACATATTTGCCAGGCGAGACGCGAAACACACCAAAACACACAATATGTCGTCCATACGCACCACCGTCCACGAGTCCTTACCATGTAAGACCCTCCTCCCACCAGCTACCCACCCAAGCCAACTCGCAGCCATTGAAGCCCCCAGACCACCCTCCAAACAGCCGCAAACCAAACTGACCATCACCTCCCTCCCAGACATCGACCCAGAGCCCACCCAAGCCGAGCGCGCAGCCGCCCAAGCCCTCATCGACGCCGAGCTCTCCACCACCCCATCCACATCCCCATCCCCATCCACCCTCCCACCAGCAGTCGAATCCCAATTCAGCCCCCTAATAACACAAGAACACGCCCGCATCGCCTCCGGGCAAACCCCCTTAGCCGCCATCGACCAGTCGCGGTACGAGACGCAAGAAGAAGACACCCCAACCTCAGCCACAGATTTACAGAAATCGCTCGCGCGTGCCTACACGGCCGACGCCTACCTGAGCGGGCGGCAGACGCACCTACAACTCCTAGAGCGGTTCGGCCGCAACGCGTGGCTGGTGGGCAACTGGCAGCTCGAGGCCGAGCTGGCGGCGCTGGAGCGCGAGCTCGAGGCCGCCCGGCGCGAGGTCGATATTGTTAATATTGCGCGCCGCCGCGTCCAGGACGAGGTCGGCGGCGAGCTGGCGGGGCTGGAGGGGGCGTGGCGGCGCAGCGTGGGCAGGGTGCTGGAGACGGAGGTCGCGACCGAGGGGATGAGGCTGCAGGTGCTGGAGAGGCAGAGGGGTGCTGCTGCGTGACAGGGGCACCGCCGCTGTGGTTGTTTGCTGGATATGAATGAAGGAAGGAACGGCAAACTGGGCTTCCAGCTCGTGTCTGGTCAGGAGGGCGTTACAAATCATGATACCAAGTCACGTAGACAGTTTGGCGAATGCAACATGTCGTAATAATCATGCAGTTTTGTCTTCCTGCGGTATCATTCTATCGTGAAAGAGGCCCAACTCAGTATGAAAGCGAGGGTAATCCCACAAACGCCTCCACGACCAAACCATGACAATCCCAATTCCTGCTTTGCGTGCAAACTACCAGCCATGCATGCCCCAGCCATGCATGCCCCAGCCTGCATTCATTCCATGCTGCCGACAATGTTCCACCAAAGACTCCAATGTGCGTGTGTATCATGCTGATCAACCCAGGGGATCGACGTCTTCAACCCCCGACTTGACGCCCTCGTATCTGGTCCTTCTCATGATACCCTCGACGGGACCGAGCAGCCGCTGAAACGCACTCTTGCCCAGCGTGGCCACCTTGACCTCCGTGGCGCTGACGACGCTCGCAGCGCGCGGGGCGTCATTCAGGAGCGCGAGCTCGCCGAAGAAGTCGCCCTTCTCGTAGTGCTTGACCGACTGGTCCTTGCCGTCTATAAAGGCGTCGGCCTGGCCGCTCTCGAGCAGGTAGAAGGACTCGCCGATGTCGCCCTGGCGGATGACGGTGTGACCGGCGGGGAACTTGAGGGTCTCGAGGGCGTCGGCGATCTTGGAGCGCTCGTAGGGCGTCAGCGTCGACAGCAGCGGCACCTCCTCGAGGAAGCTCTCGTACAGGCGGCGGCGCGCGAAGGTCGACTCCATCAGGATGCGGCGGAAGGTCACGCGGTCGAGCGCCCACAGCGTGCAGCCCGGTTCCGTCGAGATGACCGTCGCGGCCCGCGGGGCGTTGTACATGAGCGCCAGCTCGCCGAAGGCCCCGCCCGCCTGGATCGTGCCCACCTTGTTGCCCATGCCGTCCATGCCCGGTTGCAGGGCGCCGCTGTCGTTGACGTAGACGTCGAAGGCGCCCTTCTCGACGATGTAGAAGTAGTCGCCGGCATCGCCCTGGGTGATGACCTGTCGTCGCCGCAAACAGCGATATTAGCATTTACTTCCGGTCCCCAGCAGGTGCGCCGGCGTACCTTGATAGACTTCGCCGGGATGGGCTTCTCTTGCAGGGCGCCGAGGATCTGGGCGTTCTGCTCGTCGTCTAGGTGGTTGAAGAGGAAGTTGCCGCCAATGGCGCGCCTGAGCCTATCAAGCTGCTCTTGGGACTTGGGATAGGACGGGGGCGTCCAGTTGTCGTTCGCGTCGCCGGCGGGCTTCAGCGACTCGGCCGACACGGAGGTGCGGCGGTTGAAGTTGTACTGTGCCGGGTAGCCGTCGGGAGGGGTCGAGGCGTCGCCGCCAAAGGGCCCAAAGGGGTTTGTGAAGGATGACATGATGCCGTCTAGATATGTATGTGCCTAGGTATGTGGTTGATATGTGGGATGGACGAGGAGGGGAAGACGATAGCTTCTAAACATAGAAGTGGGTAGCTATCGTAGGTGCCGGTAGGTGGGATAGGTGGTGCTATCTCGTACTAAAGGAAGCGTCCTGAGGTGGAAGGTGGGGCAGTTTCGACTCTGGAGCCTGGAGTCTGGATTCTGGAATTGTTAGTAGACGCCGGCTCTTGCGATACCAGTGCTTATCCCGACCTGGTTGGTACCCCTGAGAATACCTAGGTATACGAGAAGGTGCAGCCGGCTTGGGATGAGAAGTAGGGCCGGGTAGATGCTACCTTATATTCAATTGGGTGTGGACTGCGGGAAGAGCACCTGGGTCCTGCAGTGACGACAGCGTGCTGACTTCCTTCCTGCAGTGTTTGTTCTAGAAGGGTTCCTTCGGGCAAAACAAAGGCTTGAGACAGAGGCTAGTGCAAGATTCCTCCCAGCTGGTTACCTCCCTGTCTCTGGTCATCCAATGAAGCAATATGCAACCACACAAAGACCTTTGTGTCTTCCGAGGCTCGTGCGTGCTTCCTTTGACCGTGTGAGAACCATCTTGGGTTGTTACATTACCCCCGAGAATGTAGCCTGCTGGGGGATAACTATTTACTAGCTGAGAGAGGAAATGGCAAAGACATTGGCAAAGGTACTTGCATATACAGCGATTGACAGTTGATGATAATGTCCAATGCCACGCTCTAAGTTACTGCATGCATCTACACTGCGGCCTCCAGAGACGCGCTATTGCCTTGACATTGCCCATGGAGACCAATTACTCTACCCAATTCGACTACAACCGGATTATATTGACAACAAAGCTAGGATGAAAGACCATGAAGAGTATGACTGAGGCTCGTTTATACATGTGACGTCATGCTTCTGCTGGCTGGTGTTGTTCAACGACTACACCTTAACATACCAGCCCCAGGCGAAAGGCCTTCTCGGGTTTTGTTTTGATAAGAGCTACCGTGTTCGTCTCGAAGCCCCTGTTCTTACTATAGGTGGCAAAATGCGCGCTGATGATCTCGCCCTTGAGGGTTCATGACTTGATATCTCTATTTATGAAACGCGCGGGAGAAGGTAGTTGAAAAGCCGCTCTACCAATGATATAGATGATACTACCTTTTCGGGTCTGCTTGGGCAGCTGCGCATGTCGCAGAAGAGAACAGAAATAGCGCATAGCCTCCTATTAATAGATGGTGTGGCTCCCACCTCATAGATGGCTCTTATCACTCATCAAACAGGGCAACATGATGCTCCTGACACTCATCAAACAGGCAACATGACATGAACAGCGAGACAAGGGCCTGCACAATCCTCAGAAATCTTCAGCTGTAATATGCAAAGGCATTGCTATACCATTGTTATCATCAAAGTGACACGTAAGGCGCATCTACAGTTCCAGCAAAACGACACGAAAAAGCATGGTAGAAAAGCATCGTATTTTCCTATGAACGTGATCTGAAGCATCATCTGCAACGCCCGGCCGCCTTTTCCACACACACACGCAGGACGGATGCGCCAGACGCGCGCGCAAATGAAGTAATTAGTGATGTCATCTGCAAGCTCTGCCTTCGCCGCAGCAGCTTCAATGACCATTCCGCATCCTCCTGTATGAAAGGCCATGGACAGACGCAGAGGGAGATGCCGGTTTCTCTCAAAACGTCGAACGAAGGCCGACCATGTCCGATCGCGGCGAGCCCTTGAAAAACTCTCGAGTCCTGGAGAATGCCGGATATAAAGGGTATGCACAAGCCGTAATTATGAGTACACGCAGATGAAGGAGTTCATCTGCAAGAGTTTTGGCGCGGGGCCGATGAAAGCAGATCGACCGTGATGTGTCAACCGCCAGTAGACCTAGACAGGGGAGAATTCCCACAGGAAGACTCCTAGGCAGACCAAAGGTGAAGATCCTCGCAGTGAGAGCGCTACGAGGCAAACCGGGAACCAGGTGTTGTAGCCGTCAGGTTGTAAGGGGGCATCATACTTCAGGGGATGCTGGTGACGAGGAGGAACCTGAAGGGTCCTAGGCCTTCTGGTGGTACTAGCGACCATAGGGGTGGTAACCGCGGTTACCTCCTCGTCCACCGCCGCGATAGTTTGCCCCTGGTCGGCCAGCATTCTTGGGGCCCGTGGGCGCGTTCGGAGGGGGCGCCTGGGTCGGATCGCTTGGTGCAGGACTGTGATGTCCGTAGCTGCCTCGGTTTCGGTGGAAGCCTCCTCGGCCTCCCGGGTTGGCGTTGGGCTGGGGAACGTCGTCGTACATTCCTTCCCAAGATGTAGGGTCACCGCCGCCGCCACCACCGCCACCAGCCATGTTGCCGTAGTTCTGGTTATAAGCACCACGACCACCCCGTCTGCCTCCACCACCTCGCTGGTTGTACATCTGCTGCTGGTTGTTGTAGTCGTTGAAGCCTTGTTGATCGTCGTTGCCCTGACCTTGAGCTTGGCCAGCGCCGCCATTACCCATCATCTGGTTCTGCATTTGCTGCATCATGGCTGGGTTCATATTCGCCATGCCGGCCATGCCGGCCATAGGGTTGTTCCCAGGGTTGGCTCCGCCTCCTCCTTGGGCCATTTGCTGCTGCATTTGTTGAATCTGCATCATTTGCATCATCGCTGGGTTCATGGCTCCCATTCCCCCGGCCATGCCTCTGTTCATGGCCATCTGCTGCTGCATCATGGTCATGTACTGTTGCATTCGTTGCATGTACTGGGCCATCGATTGAGGTGTCATTCCTCCTTGGCCCATTTGGTTGGCCATCTGGTTCTGGTTGGCTCCCTGGTCGTCCATGCCGCCTTTCTTAAACTTGCCACGTCTCGAAGCCTCCTCCTCCTCCCGCATGTTACCTCTGGGCTGAGCTTTCTTGACTTCGATAGGCTTTCCGTGTATCTCCAAGTGGGTGCTGAGGCACGCATCGACTCCAGCCTCGCTCTCGAATGTGACGAACCCAAAACCTCTGGGGCGGCCGGTGTCCTTGTCCATCATAAGCGTCGCGTCAACTACCCGGCCAAACTGTGCAAAGTATTCCTTGAACTCATTCTCGGTCGTGTCCTGGCTTACGCCGCCCACGAAGATCTTGGACGTCTTCTCTTGCTCATCTCTCGGGATAGCACGCTTCGGGTCGATCTGTGATATACTTAGTCAACAGGTTCCGTTGGGTTAATGAACAGACGCAACACTTACAAGTTTACCATCCAGGAAGTGTTCCTTGACCATAACAATGTTCACCGTCTTGGGGTCCTTAAAGGTCAAGAATCCGAAGCCTCGCGACCGTCCAGTGGCGCCGTCTCTCATAACCGTACACTCAGTAACCTCACCAAATTGGGAGAAGTAGTCGCGAAGGGAGTCTAATGATCAAAGACCGATTAATACTTGGCAAACGGAAATGGTCGGGTTTGCAGTTTAGGTTTCCTTACCGTCTGTTGTCTCCCAGTTCAACCCGCCAATGAACATTTTCCTGCACGAAATCCATGGTCAGCCTACCATGCATAACAAATGATTGCAAACTTGTGTCAATGCAGCGCCACGATCAAACAAGCCAGAGCGTGGTGGAGTCTGTCTGGATGGTCTCAGCGGAGATGATTGTCACTTGAGCAAACATGCTGAGGGTGTCTTGTACATCCTCCAACCGAGGGCGCGCGTCAATAACAGCTCCATACGCCATCCCAGACCTTGTGTATTCACCGCCTATGCGATCAGCCGTGTGAGCCGAGATCCCCGTCTTGCAGATTGATGTAGTCATTGAAACGGTGTCTCCGTCCTCGAAATCTTCGCAGTCCGAGGTTAAGGGGATGTACTCCTCCTCCTCCTCCTCCTCCGTGTTCTTGCGTACATCCATGGTAGTTGATGGTATTGACGGTTGTGTGCGTGCGCGCAGTTCTTAGTGTGGACGGATGATTGAGCCACTGGTGAGATCCCAGGGGAGGCGACAGACAGCACTGCTCAAAGAGACTAGGGAAGGCAGCGGATGATGTCCGAAATGTTGTCGAATTTGCTCTCGTCTCTTTGCTATCGCGAAGCTAGGTTATGAACCTCGAGCGCTATTCGCTGCCAATGTTTGTTACAGCCCCTGAGAACCACGTCCTCGTCGAGCTTTATGAGCCTATCTTGGATGGATGGTTATGAAGGCAGTAGCGTTCTTGTGTACTGGCTATGGTCGGATTTATCGTTGGCTCTCCCAGGTAGCAAGCATTGTGAATCCTCCTGCATCTCATCTTCTCTTTCTCTTGCTTTGCGATGCATCTTTGAAGCTTGGACAGTACGGAGATCTTGGGCCTGCATTTCGAACGTCGACCGACTTGCACCATGACGACCTCTTATTCGGAGCCAGCTAGCCAGACAAGGTGTTCTCATGTCCAAACCCCTCCGGCCAAACCCCAAGGCACCATACCATGATTATGTTCAGTTGGGACACCGCGACCAGGCGATTGAGTTCCCAATACACTAGCCTGGACGTCACGGCATGCTCTAGGCTGCTTCGGCTGCAAATCGATCCAGGCGGCAAAGAATAGGGATAACCTTCAAGCAGAGAAGATCTCGACTCGTGGCTGATACGACATAGGGTGAAGCAAGACAAAACTGGGGTAAAAAAACGAAATCACTTACCCATCCTCCTTAGCACTGGGGCCTCTGGTTGTATGATGGTAGGTGGGAGTATGCGCCTCCTCTTGCTTCACGGGCGCTGCGGTCATGCTAGTGGTTCCATTTCCTAGGTTGAAGTCTACGTCGTCGTCGTCATCGTAGTTGTCCTCATGGTAGTCGTTGCCGTATCCATTCTCTTCAGTGCTCTGAGCTACATCCTCGGATGCTTGCTCGTATTCGGGGTGCGTGATTGCTTCTGACGGCTGGGATTGCGCCGGTGCAGCTGGCGCAGCAGGCGCGGTCGCTGGCGCAGCGGCATCGTTGTCATCATAGCTGCGTCGAGTCAGTAAGTCGGCGGTTTGGGGATATAATGCGCGACACAGAAGTCGTTTGAGAAGAGACGGGATTCGTCTCAGGGAGGTACTGACAGATCGGCAAAAAGATCTTCATCGAAATTCTCGGGTTCCGCCATGATCAAAGATGCCTGGAATTGTCGGCCTCGTAGATAGGCAAGGCGCTGATTGGGAGTACTGGAAGGACTGGGGGACTCGGTTTCGGCGAATGTCGTGGGAGTTCAGACTCTATCTGATGGCCAGATGGAGACTCTTCAATCAGAGGCGAGAAGTGATAGCACGTCGCCGAGTAGAGAATCGTGTTATAGGCAAAATGCACTTGGTGATGGGTGTTGATGCTGATGAAGGATGGAGACGAAAGAAAGGTGCCAGCTGCTGAGGAAACTTGGAGAGAAGCTTGATCCAATTGGGAGTTGCGACTCGCCGAGGTGGGCCAAGGCCAAGCACAGACCAGTTCTTTAATTAACGTGATTGGTCGAAGCTGCTGGTTCTTTGTGGGGGCTGCATGTGCACATATCCACTATTTGTGTGGCGTGGCTTGCCTACATCCATCAGCCACGGGTGCCTGCAGGTGCCAGGCGATGGGCCCAGAGCCGAGGGAGGGGCTGAGGGGCAAGGCCGGCGCGGACAAGTGATCGGCCATCGGTGTAGCAATGCGACTCAGATAGTATGGGCCTGCCACTCCCGGGTTGATCCTACCATTGAGGACAACACCATGCCATAACAGCCTGCAGTACCATGCGCTCGTGAGTCTTCTGAATACTTCGCCGGCCATGTTTTCGTCTTCGGGCAGCGGCAAGAAAACACCACAGCAGGTACGCTCTTTCACGCCTCCAGAGAGATGCTCAAAGAGCACCCAGCCGCTGACGATGACGTATAACAGGAGATGGTCCAGGTCGGTAAGTCCGTCCAATGGCTCGAAAGCCGCCGAGAGCATGCGCTTGTTACCTTAGCATCTATGACACGAGATGGATCGATATGCTGACTTGACATCTGCCAACAGATAGATCTGAGTAGGTTCCGCGTTTGTCCTCTTGGGTCATCATCAAGATGTGAAACTAAAGCTCAGTCCCAGGTCCACCTCGCCGTTCTGGCGCCCCCAACGAGAGGCAACCCCGAAACGAACAGGTCGCGATCCGAATATGGTGGTGGGGGCAGCCTATTCCCATGCGGACATGCTGAAGTTCGACAATCTGTGCGTATTGGACCCTCGGAGTCGTTCAGCCACGCCGTTTACTCACCGCAACCCAGTCACGTATCCGGTCCTTCGTCTCGACCGAAGACTCCCCCATCCTCGTCTTCGCAAAAGGCTCGAAATAGTGACGTTGGTTCTCCGCCGCCCAAGTCTTCTGGAGGTCCATCCTCTCCTCCCTTGAAGTCCTACTTTCACTTTCTCTCGAACACGAACTCCGACTGGAATGTAGAAGACCCGGAGGGGGGAGATATGCTCGGCTACGAAGATGACGATGGAGACGACTTCGGCTTGCCTAGCCTATCAAACATGCAACGCCGAACTCGCCGCAAAGCAGCTGCTCAAGGCGGTAGTAGCCTTACATCTCGAGGCCATCCGGCACCTCTCGAGACTGCTCTTGGCTTCAATACTCGACGCTTCTCTGACAGCGCCGATATAGCGATTGAAAGGCCGGCAGCGGCTTATCCGATGCCGAAGAAGAGCGAAGGGAAAATATTGAGGCCGCAATACAAAGACATCCTTAAAGGTTTCTTCTCCCTCAGCTCTTGTTAGTTGAATGGATGTTAACCCTGAGCAGATCCAGCCAATGCCCTACATCTCATCGATCACCCCGCTACTCCAGCCAATGCTACGCCGAAGGAAATCGACGCCATCAACTCTCGGGTCACGAAAATCAACAAGTTCAAAAAGATCCTCCAAGCCACGACAATACCGCTGACAGATTTGAGGGCTCTTGCGTGGGGTGGTGTTCCAAAAGAAGTCCGCGCTATAACCTGGCAGCTTCTCCTCAGCTACCTGCCCACTAGTAGTGAACGGCGTGTGGCAACGCTCGAGCGCAAGCGAAAGGAATACCTCGACGGAGTCCGGCAAGCTTTTGAACGTGGCGGCACGAACCCTGCCCCGAGTGGCCGCTCAAGAGGCCTCGATGAAGCTGTATGGCATCAGATCAGTATTGACGTACCCAGAACCAATCCACACATCGAACTTTATAGCTACGAGGCAACTCAACGGTCGTTGGAGCGAATTTTATACCTTTGGGCTATCCGGCACCCAGCGAGTGGGTATGTTCAAGGGATCAATGATTTGGTTTCCCCGTTCTGGCAGGTCTTCCTGGGCTCTTATATCACTGATTTCAACATCGAGAGCGGCATGGATCCAGGTCAACTGCCGAAAGCGGTGCTGGACGCGGTGGAAGCCGATTCGTTCTGGTGCCTGACAAAGTTACTGGATGGGATTCAGGATCACTACATTGTTGCCCAGCCAGGAATCCAAAGACAAGTTGCTGCACTTCGGGACCTTACCGCTAGGATCGACGAAGGCCTTGCCAAGCATCTAGAGAACGAAAATGTCGAATTCATCCAGTTCAGCTTCCGGTGGATGAATTGTCTCCTCATGAGAGAGATCAGTGTCCAGAATACTATTCGCATGTGGGATACATACCTGGTATGAACTCACAGCCTCTTCTAGGTGTCACTGCTAACTGTTTAAAGGCCGAGGAGCAAGGGTTTTCGGAATTCCACTTGTATGTTTGCGCGGCGTTCCTCGTCAAGTGGTCAGCCAAACTGGTCAAGATGGACTTTCAAGAGATCATGATGTTTTTGCAGGCATTGCCAACGCGAGACTGGACCGAGAAAGATATCGAGCTCCTACTCAGTGAGGCGTACATATGGCAGAGTTTATTCAAAAACTCGTCTGCTCACTTGAGGAGTGGACCCAGTCGAGCTCCAACTACGAACCTTCAGTTATAATGAACACGTCACGACCTAAAATAGACCGACCAGAACCCGCCCACGCCCCAGGGCGTGTTATCTCGGGAGCACCATTCCCATCAATTCAGTCGTGGTGGACATTCTCGCCCAATATGACCTTCTTAACGATTCAGACATCCGATTGCTCTCTGGAGATTTGACGAATTCCTACATGGAGCTGGTGTTGCGAGACACCCACCAAAGCTGGCCAAGTTGTCTTTAACTGAGGGTTGGCTACGATTAGTTGCCGACTTCTGCGCGACCCTCTGTTTGGTGAAGCAGAGCCGCAGATCACCCAGTTTGGTTGAAAATGGCATTAACGAACCGTGCAATGTCAGCACGACCTGGCGTGACACTGGCGTAAGTTCACAAAGTGACGGTCGGACTATCAAGCGCCACTCGCGACGGGTCCTATACCGGTCTTCTCTTGGAATTAACCTCTGTACATATGACTTTGTGCAGGCGAATTGTATAAGACTTTACGACCGGATTTGGTGATACATTCGAATACGCCCTGGGCGTTGATCGTTGTTAGCGAACTCAAGCTACAGTGTACCATGCGCTTGGATCCTAGATGGTCTGAAGGCCAGCTGTGACTCTCAGTTGGGAGGCTACGCTTAAGAATGTCTCAGGCATCTGGAAGCTCCGAGAAAGGTATTACAAGTACCAGCATTCATCAGCTTTTCAAGGTAGTATGGACATCTATATGCCATGGCTTTTCACAGTATCACACCGGCAGTGCCGCGATTACCCCGTATGGTATGACCTTCGTCGATCGAATCGAGACATGACCGTGCGGCTCCTTCAACGTCATTGCTGGTAACGAGGCGACCCAAGCCGCAAAGTCCTCGAGGAAAGCATCGAAAGACTCTTGGTCTGATGGATCGATCGGCTCCTGACCGTGGCTGATTCAGCCCCATCTGCCACTGGCCAGTACAGATCCAATGTCTTTCTCGTCATTCACGACGCCTTTGGCTTTGATGCAACTCCTCGGGCCGACAAGCAGGATCTCCGGCGGCAACACTGGCTCCATGGCGCTGACTCGCGCTATCCCGCTGCCTTCGAGCCCGCTGCGCAGCGCGTCCACCATCGCATCGCGCCCACCGCCTTGCGTCCCAGCTGGTTGTAAAGCAATTCATACGCCTCAGCGCCTCACGTGCGGCACGATGGCCTTGGCGAACTCGGTGAACAACGACCCAGGCTCCGCGGTCCCAGTGCCCGTACAGCTTCGTGAGCGCCGTGTCGTGGATGCCGCTTGCGACCATGTTGTCGTGACCCCAAACCGTGAGGTACTCTGTCATGGCTGCCCTCGTGAACCGGTTGGGGGCTACACGCGGGGAGAAAGGGAAGGACAGCAGCCCGCCCAGGGAGGCTGGGCCGACGTCGCGGTCCTCGAAGCGGTTGGGCATGGTTGTAACGTCTTGTCAGACATGTTGTGGGTATATCAGAATATATTGGTGGAATGGCAAACATAGATATCAAAAGAAAGGACGCACTTTGGAGATGAAGTTCTGGGTCTTTTGCCTGTTATGTGTCTCGTTTCCCTTCGCACACCTGCCGGCACTGGAAGCCCTTCAACACTGGAGACGTAGATATACGCATGTATCACAATAGCAGCGTTGAAATGTCCGTACATTGGTCTCCTGGTGGCCATCCACCAATTGCCTGAATGATGCAGGTTGTCTTCATCCGACTATCGTGGACTCTGGAGGCAAGGGTAGGGACTTTATGCGGGAGCTGCATTGTGGTAGCTAGCAGCATGGTTCTCCGTCTCGGAGCATCTGAGGTATGTTCCTCGGGCTTGCTCCGAAATATTTCATTGCTAACTTAGTGTCTGGGTGTTGATTCGAATCAGTACTTCCTTCAAAAAGTTCACATATCCAAAGTCCCTTTCAAAAGAATATGCTATGCCAGCCTCGGGTGTGTTCGGTCAAGGCGTGAGAGAACATGTCACACCGTATGTAGTCCGCCACACGAACTCTGGCGTCCGATTCCCCATGTACGCTATAAAATCCGTTGCAATAAATCGTGCTGCTAATATACAAACGCCGGACCAGTCTGATAGAGTAAGTGTACAGTAGATGAGATTTCCAAACCCCAATTGCTAGGCATTGCGCCATGGTTTTGCGTGACGAATCCAACCGCATCGGTGGCCTATGGCACGCGGTTCTAGTCTAGAACGCGATTCCGGTGCTTATTTAAAGTTGATCGCCAAGTCGAATGTATTATCCTGTCGGGCATAGTATTTAATATAATAACCAGCAATCTTGCGGTCCGGCACTATAACCATAAAAGTTAGAAATTGCCTGCCATCTAGAACCAAGCAGAGTCTCGGTCGATAGGGGATTAACTTACTGTACTCTTCCACCATCTTCTGTGCATTTTGTAAGAGGCTGGGGAAAAACCGGCTGCTGCCTAGGTACTCGCCTAGGGCAGCTTGTTTACAATACTTAGGGGAGAGGAGCACAGAATGGGCAAAATTCGTGGAGAAGAGCAAGTTCTTTTCAACAATCTGCCCCCGATAGATAGCTTTTCTTGAAGGACCAGATGGATGACCCCAAGGTCATACCGCCGCAACAACGGGGATGGGCCCGTAAGCGGGACTGACTGTACTTATTATCTTGAGACCTCCACAACCCTGCGATACAGAGGCTCTGGGAGGCGTGGTTTGCACTACTGAGGAGCTACCCCCCACGTTAAATACAATCAATCAATCAATCATCTTCTGTGCACCCACGCCGAACGGATTGTCCTTGCCCAACCTTTCAAAGGCATCCTTCTCGTGGTGTCTTCCATCCCGAGTGATCTTCAGCTCAAAGGCCTTAGAGAAGTTTAGACCCATCACGGTGACGGCTTCTGTGACGGCGGCTTCGACTTCTTCGTTTAGCACCTCGGAGTAGTAAAGGGTCTTGAGATCTTTGGGCTCTTTCCCAAACTTGAAATTCCAGGCGCTCATGATTATGTCCCGCAAGGCAAGCCACTCGCCCTCCTCCCAGCCATTCCAAGCCTCGATGACTTGGAACATACCCTGGTCGGGCCAGCCGGCGAAGATGTCAAGGACATTTCTTTCCACACCCACGTAGTCGTCACACGTGACATCGTTGACATAGAGTCCTTTACTCTGGTCCCACCGTTGGGGCATCCAGTGGTAACGGGAACCCTCTACGAACGGGTCGAAAGGGCTCTTCGCCGGTTCCTTCGGTTTCTTCGGTTTCTTCTCCTGGGGGAAGTTCTTGCTTATCGTACGGCTGTCGGAGTGGCTGGTGTCGCGCGTGCTCTCCAGACTATGAGGAGCCGATCGAGCGCCCAAGAAACAGCTATTTAGTTCAGCGAGAGGATTTTGTCGGAGATACTCTTCGAGGTTATCGTAATGTTGGAACGTTGTGATCGATGCCGCCGTTGGGATCTTTGTCCGCTTCCGGTGGACCGGCAATTGCTGGATGGCGTCGCTATATATGGTGGGAGCCATCTGATTCGTGTGGTTGTGTGTGGTTCTTGAAGAAAATCTTTGCGAGATTCCCGTGCGAGGATTTGTCCTCATATAGGGCTCTCGTGACTCATCGGATAAAGATGTACGAAGGTTTCGCTAGTAGCGTTAAGGTTGAAGGAAAAGACAAACAGAGTTCAGCCATAAGCTACCAAAAAATACAAAATATAAAACTAAAAATAAAAACCATCGTTTATTTGCTCAAAGTTACGACAGCCTAAATTAATTCCACATTATCGATATCATCTCAAGTTGCTAGGTTGGAAACACGAAGTCAGTTTAGCGAGAACGGCGATAGTAACTGCAACCGAAGCATATCGCATTTTAAACAGTCGCTTTAACGTTAGAGAAAAGGGTCAGAAATCGAAAGGGCTGTAGGTATTGGTGGAGGTGTTCTTGTAGATGTGCTGAAGTTATTAAGTATGGACGATGCGGCTTCAAAAGTTATATGTATACTATACAGGAAGTTAGCGACGTGGCCTTTCGGCTGATTCTGTGTACAACGGCTCTCAGAATCAAACTTATTCTTAGCCTGGGCCCCAGTATAGAGGCACAGAATAGAGGCACAGAATAGAGGCACAGAATAGAGGCACAGAATAGAGGCACAGAATAGAGGCACAGAATAGAGGCACAGAATAGAGGCACAGAATAGAGGCACAGAACAGAAGATCAGGATAGAGGCACAGAATAGAGGCACGGAAATCAGAACACCGCTTACTTCCCTCTTATTATATAAATAGTTGTTACACCTTGCTCACCTGCAAGCTCTCCAGCGGCGCAGCGCATGGTCGCCGGAGTAGCATGACGTACATCTGGGAACTTCTGCGGTCGACGGTGTTGTCGGTCAAGAATGTGGCGCTCGCTAACACCGAGAGTAACTGCACTTCCGTATTGTGGAGTGATATTGGGTTCGAGCGAGGTGTCGAGTGAGTCGGTCGGCGCTTATGGTGCTTGGGGCTTGGACATTGTCCAGACCCGGTCCGGATGGAGCGAAGGCAACGCCTGGCTACCATGAGGGTGGCGCTGCAGAGATTCGACCGTCCGCCCGAGCCTTCCTGGCTTTGCTTACAGGCTCGCCGCGCTTCATCTCTGGAGCGACTAGGTGTCGTGCAGCTAACGGGGTCTTTCAGCAGCTTCGACAAGATATTACTTCGGTGTAGAGCGACACGTGCTCAATCGAGTCTCCATAGTCGCTGCGCTGGTCAGGTCTGGGTGCGTTTTATTCTGCTCGCATGACACCAGCTTCCGCGATACTTGAGAATATGACAGGAGGGGAGTGATGGGTGACGGATACGATACGAATATGGTATCAGATGTTGAGTTACAGTCGTGCTTGAGTCATCATGGATGGAGGGGTTCTCGACGTGGGTTCGTGAGAACCGTTTGTCGGAAGAGGAATCACAATCGGATCGAGCCTGAGCTTTGAGCCTGAACTGCGAGTAATTCTTCCATAGGCCTGCGAGACGTCAGTTTCAATGAGGTTATGCGCAGCATTATGCAGTGCTGACTCTTTTCATCGGTAAAGAAATCTCACTTCCCCCTTCTTGATTTCCATTTGCATCGAAAGGCTATGGCAGACCGAATTTAAAAGAATTTTAAAAATTAAAATGACACAGGTGCGCAAATGCTAGATCGAACAGTGGACCTTTAAAATGGGGCGCAAGGCAACAAGAAAAAGGTTTTTTTAGCTAGACAATTTGTCAATTAGACAATTTTGTCGGCAGCTAGGTTGACGCCGAAAGATTTGATCAGTAAATTGACATATATACCACGACCACACGTCCGCCCCCACAGTCGTCGATAGGCTTTCGGGGGCAACTAAACTTACGCCTCCTTGGTTTGAACAGTGACCATGAAAGCACTGCTAAAGGGCAAGAAAGGGTTGGTAGCCTTGACAATGTCGACAGCCTGGTTCGCGTAGAAATTTACCTGGTAATTTAGCATATATGTACCACCACCTGCACTTCCTTTCCACCCACGATAAGGTGAGAATAAAACCTTGAGATATTCTCAAGCTGCGATCACATGTATCTCTATAACAATATTCGGCCGTAACACCTAACGTATAGCTCACTACAAGGCTGGTTTTCTCAGAACATCTGCTAACTATGACAGCAAAGGCAAACTACCTATTCCCTAGGTTTGCGCTTATAGTTTATGTGCGAAGTGCTCCGAGACGCCATTGGGTACACCCCATCTGTGCCTTAGGCACTTAGAAGGCCCATGCAGATGCCGCCCTGCTCCAACTTTCATGAACCTCAAACCTCATGTCCAGCGTGGATTGTTTATCTTGGCTCCATCAAGAGTCACCAGACCTGGGCAGTCTGTATCGAAAAAAGGGCCAGTCATCATGAGAAGTTCCCGAGCTCTTGATTCGTTCCTTTCAAGCGCGATCCCATCTTGTAGGCTCTCCCAAGGTATGTTACTGCTGATCGCGGCTTTTCCGGTAAGCATTTCCGGCAACCTGACTCGCCTCCGGGTAATTGAGTCTGGTCTAAATCGCTCTAGGATGATGCATATGTCGTGGTCATCGCGTCTTCGTCGAGGCTTACTGTAATATTCCACGCTGATTCCTCTGGCCAAATACTACTCGAGTAGCCTTCGGCCAGTGAGCATGTCGGGTACGCATGAGCATTGCCGCCAAGTCAAGGCGAGTAGCGCTAGATTGACATGAGTCTATCGCGAGAATCAGGTTAGCATTGGACGTACGGTATGCCCCGATTCTGGCAGGGTGTCTGATACCCTACAAGCCCAGGCTCGGAACACCAATGGACAACATGCTTTCGGCGCAACCAAATTCTTGTCTGGGGAGGCAAACGGCGTGCTAACGATTGGTCTGATAGGGTCTAATAAGGCCTTGGAGTATGAGCAATTCAGAAGCAGAGGAAACCGTAAGGACTGACCTAGTCCAGAGTCAGTACT